CTTATCCAACCTGGCACCCTCACCGTGTCGCTGACCAGATTTCAGCCATGTTGGGACCCATCGGGGCTTCCTAGTGTCTGAGGTCCAAGCCCCGCTCTGCTCTCGACCCGCCCTCCAGAGGCCCGGGGCCGCGCCCGCGCTCCCTGCTGTCGCGGCGCCGCGCCCGTCTATATGCAAATGAGCTAGAGCGCGGCTGTGTGCACCGAGAGGCTTCTGTCGGTCCATCGGCGGGCCAACGGGGCTGTCGCGCCTCCCGCGGGGGACACCGGAGCTCCGGCCGCCGGATCCGAGGCGACGCGTGAGCAGAAGCGCCGCAGGGGCAGCCCCAAGTCCCAAGGCCAGGCAGTGGGTGTGGCTTTGGGCACTGGCTTCAGCCAAAGCCGGTTCCCTCTTGGGGCTTAAAGGAACACTTGGGGCCTGTATTGAGCAAGGTTTGGAAGCATCTGAGCGCTTGGACCATTAATAATGAGTTAATGACAACTAGTGACAAATACTGACCAAAAAAAGAAAGATTAGAAAATACCTACTTAGCTGTTTTTTGGGGGTGGAGGGGCTAAGTAAGCTTAAATATGCTCCTGAATTGGCGTTCCATGGAGTATCTTTAACAGCTTATTAATAGCTTCGCTTTCTTAACCACACAAAACCTTTGTGGGATATATATATATCACAACTTCATTTGTCTTGGGGTTGGCACTATATTCTCACTTCTACACAAACACAAAACGATTCTTCATTGAATTCCCAGCTTTGTCTTAAGCCAAAATAATGTCTCTAAAAACCGCGTCTTGCCATTAAGATATTTGATGGCCAGGCAAATAGCTTAGTTGGTAAAGTGCTTGCTTAACAGGCATGCAGTCTGGGTTCCATTCCCAGCACCACCTAAACCCAAGCTCGGCACAGTAGTATAAGGTTGGTAGTATCTGTCTGTAATTCCAGCACTTGGGAAATGGAGGCAGGATGATCAGAATGCTATTCTCGGCTGCATAGGAGTAGAGGCCAATGTAGGTCTTCAAATAAAAGAAAAACTAAGAGAAGAGAAATAGGGAGGGGGAAGGAGGAGGCTAACTAGTGGCTAACTCCACCCACTGATCTCCAGGGAAAGCTTTATTTGTCAGAAACAAACAAAGTATCACCACAGCCACCATTATCATAGACTGTTTGAAGTTATAAAACTAAATAGCAATCCTAAATACCATAGATATCCACCTTGCTCAGTCATACTTAAATGTTGCGGCATTTGTTATCCACTGGGTTGTTACTAGAGAATTTGTAACAAATTAATGGTGTCTGCTGTAGTAGTATATTGCTTGAATTCCTAACCCATAGCTATGGACTTTATATGCTAGTTTTTAATATCTTAGAGGCCAGGCAAGTGTATAAATACTTTTATTTAAAAAAAAAGAAAGAAACACAGTTTACTTATTCAAAACCGATCATTAATGCACTTGACATTTGGGGGGAGGGGAGAAATAATGAGATTTTAGTTGGTTCTTCTCAGTATAGTGTTAAAATTAAGTCTACTTGTTTCATAAAGTCATATTCATGCCCCGAATATTTGCATCTATCTATAAATATTGTAATATTTGAAATTATAGAGTCAAGTAAAAACCAGTTCTCCAGATACTTTGAGATCATATTTACCCACAACCTCAACCATGTGAGGTTTATCTTCTTTCTTAAATGAGACATGCTCCTTTAAATAATAATAAAAAAAAAGGCGGGGGTGTAAGTAGAGATAGAAAACCAGGTTCCCACTTGTGAGTGACATTGGGCCCTTATCTTATGCCATGCACAGAAACTTTTCTCAAAATGCATTTTTAAAGGCTAAACATTAAACCTGCAGCCATAAAACCCCCAGAAGAAAACACGCGGGAGGACGAGGACACTCACCAGCATGGCCTTGGCAGTAATTTCTTGCATACCAAAGCTAAGGCTCAGGTTTCAAAAATAACAAAATGTGGGTCTACATCAAACTAAAATGTTTCTGTGCAGCAAAGAAAAGAAAAAAGTAAAGGAAAAGGGCAGCCTACAGGATGGAAGAAAATATTTTCAAACTGTGAATATCCATGATTAATACTGAGAAAACATATACAACCCAGTAGCAAATATATCCCAATCAAACAATGAGTGAAAGACTTGAATAGATATTGTTCTGAAAATGGTATAAAACTGATCAGCAGGTGCCTAGAAAGGGAGCTCAAGAGCACTTAGCACCAAGGAGACACCAATAAACAAGCACTGTGAATTAGTAACTCTCTGTTAATAATTGTTAAGATTGTTAGTATCAAAAAAAGATAAAAAGTAAGACATGGTGTAGGGATGCGGGCATGATGTGGAATTCCCCTCTGTGTTCTGTAATTATGTTTTGTTACCGTTGGTTAATAAAGAAGCTGCTTTTGGCCAATGGCTTAACAGAAGGTAGCCAGGCTGGAAGAAATATATAGAGTAGGCAGAGTCAGAGAGATGCCGTGTAGCCACCAGAGGAGAAAGACTCGAGTTGCCAGCTAGAACCTTGCCAACAGGCCACAAGCCTCATGGTAAAATATAAAATAATCGGAATGGGTTAATTAATTTAAGATGCAAAAGCTTGCTAGGAATACGCTAGAGTCGTTGGCTAAGCAGTGTTGTAATTAATACAGTTTCTGTGTGGTTATTTCAGGTCTGGGCAGCCAGGAAATGAATGAGCAGTCTACACCAACAAGGGCATTCTTGGAATTTAGTGGAATCATTATGGAACCCAGTTTAAAGATTCCTAAGTTTTCTTTACAGGATCCATTAAAGATACTCTCACACCCCCCAGACAGCAGGAAGTAAATTTAAGAACATGATGCCCACATTCCCAAGAGGTGGGTGGGTGGTTTTTGGTTGTTCAATGAATTATAGATACTATTAATATGATAGGATAAAAGGGTAGATTATTGAATCTACTTTGAAATGAAAAAGGAGGATATAGATATGATAAGATTAAAAAGGAAGATTATTACATCTAATTTTAAAAAGCAACTACTAGTTTTAAATGTTTTGCATTGGATTGAACTTTTGAATATTGTATACAATTTTATATATTGAGATAATTTTGTTAGAACATACTGTATATACATTTCTACTCTTGTTCAAGGTATTGTGCCTATACAACTCATTTAACAATATAATGCAAATTTCTAGTCTTTGAAAATTATTAGTATTGTTTAGGATAATAAGGAAATACAGGTTAGTAATTAGTCACCTATTATAATCGAACTTGTAATCACATCAGGTATGTTTTCAAGGTCAAACAAAAATATATTTTTAGACAGGTCATCTTCAAATACTTCAGAGATCTGCAAAATATGGCACTTACGATGTTTTAATAACCTAGGTTCTTCTTCTTTTTATGTCAATGAGACATGTCTGCTCCTGCTAGCACAATCTACTTCAGAGAAGATAATGGACATCAAAGAAACTCCACATGTTGTAATATGACGGCCGACTTGTTGGGGTTTCTGTCCCGCCCGGTACCCCACAGCCAACAAGTCCCAGAGAAAATCAATCACACAGAGATCTCTATAAGTTATAAAGCTGATTGACCCATTAGGTCAGGCTACTTATTAGCTCTTATAACTTATGTTACCCCATTATCCTTATCTACATTAGCCACATGGCTCCGTACCTTTCTCAGCTGGGCAAGTTACATGCTGCCTCTTCGGTGGCCTGCGCAGGAATCGCAGAAGGAGCTTCCTAGAATACTCCCAGTCTCTTTCCTTCACCTCTACTTCCTGCCTGGCTTTCCTGCCTATACTGCCTGCCTGGCCAATCAGCGTTTTATTAAAATATGATTGACAGAATACAGATAATTCTCCCACATCAACATATTTACTTTCTTTGTGGCAAAAGTAAGCCACTGGGCAAGAAAATGCCCCACCTCGACTTCTGACAATATACTGTCCTAATTAGACAAGCAGAACACAAAAGAAAATGACTGCCAAGCTGGGTGGCACACGCCTTTAATCTCAGCACTCGGGAGGCAGAGGCAGGTGGATATCTGGAAGTAAGTTTGAGGCCAGCCTGGGCTACAAGAGCTAGTTCCAGGATAGGCTCCAAAGCTACAGAGAAACCCTATCTCAAAAGAAGAAGAAGAAGAAGAAGAAGAAGAAGAAGAAGAAGAAGAAGAA